CCGATTCCTCTCACTTCCTGTGTCAGAAAGCATGCGGGAAAACTGATAGAATTGACAATTAGAACAAAACCTTTCTTCGGTTTGTTGGTGTTTTGTGACGGAATTCTTGATAAGTAAGTTTTTGAAACTAGACCTTAGGATTTTTGCATCTAATTTCTGGATGCTAACACTTAATCATTAATTTTGTAAACTATAATAGGTAAAGTTTGAAGGATATAGTTGTTGTGACAATTCTTGTTTTTCTCTGCAACGGCAGCAGATTTTAGTAAATCTTTCTGTTTTACGTCAAACGCAAACAACTTTTGGTCAAACGAAAATCAGCAGAGTACGCATCCTCTGCTGCCGTTTCGATTCAGGGTTAGCATGTGTTTTTCGACTGAACTATCATAGCTGTGATTTAGTTTGTATCAAGCTGCAGAAAATCCGAAGAAATAAAATGACGGGATATTATACTGCAAAAGCAGCTCTTATTGCGTTATTCGAGTTCTTAAAAAGGAAAGAATGAATGGGATAGTTGTTACTGTTCTAGAATTCAGAATTTATCAATAAAGCAGGATCAGTCTCTTTGAAAACGTAGGATAGTAATTTTCTTCAAACCAAAATTTCGGTTAGAAGAAGATTAGAATTCAGGAAATGGTGTAGTACTGTTCTAACTAGCTGAAATTTCATTGTTCAGTAGGATCCAAGTGAATAAAACTTAGAAGCATTTAGATCCTATATTTCATAAACATGTGAGATGTATATATATATGTTAGTGATTTCTCAGAATACCGTGTTTTACAAGCACCAAGCAATTGGCTAACCAAGTTTATACGAAATCCTAAAGCGGCTGGGCGTCACACTACTTTAGTCAAACCAGTATTCGTGTTTACGTTGGGTAGTATTAGAAACAATTACCTTCACGCAGATGTCATCACTTAAAATTGACCTGAAGGAACGAATAACTCTCATTGTTTTGTCAAATGTTTGTATGCCCTAATTTTAAAAAGATGCAAATCGCCATTTCGCATATAACTCTTCTTGATATATAGTTGTCTTTTGAGTTCTATAGCTGCCAAATATAATGGTTTCACAGGCGAGTTTTCACAGCACCTCTTGAACAACACAGAAAGAATGATGACCTCTGTACCTAACATTGGTGAATTCCCTCTCCTAACCAGCTTACTGTGTTACTGTATTGTTGGTAATTACTTGCGCATAAGGAAAATACAATCGAAACACCAAGATTTCAGGGGAACAGTGCCCAGCACTGTGTGTTGGAATGTCAGTGGACTTGCATTGTGATCATAACGCCTAGTAAGCATCTAGTTACCGTTGAGCTCTTTTCTTTGCAGATTACTGATGGTCCACTTTCAGATTTTCTATGACGTCACTATCCTGAGGTCATCGGTTGTCTGAGACTGTATCCAAAAGGATAGTTGGCGGTTTCTCACCGAGACGGTAAGGTGATTATGAGGTGTCTCGCACCACTTCTCAAGTCTCAAGCAAGATCTTTGTAAGAAAATGAGCTAATGAACATAAGGCCAATCCCGAAAATTACAATCAAAATTCTAAACTTACTTGCCATAACTGTGAAAGTATACCATTAAATACAACCATTTCATAATCTGACGTTTTATAAATTATTGTGACTGTTTGAAATGGTGCACAGATGACCTGCTTTTATGAGAAAGACGTCGAATAGAAGAAATGGGCATAGGATGATCAACACAAACGAAAGCTCTTCTTTTTGGCATCCAGTTGGTTGAATGCACAATCAAATATAAACAACTGCGTCCAAGATACATCTTTCGTCATCTCAAATTTCCGAAGTATGCTTTACATGTCTGTTTTCTTTTCCCTGTCGAAAGGATGGATTATTATCTTACCTCTACAAAATCCATTTATGACATCAAACATGATCTTAGCAGACAATTACATATCTTTCCTATTAAACTGATCCCATCTTATTGGTTTATTTGTTGATTCCATCACAACTGCTTAGCAGGACTCAAGTTCCAAAATTGTGGTGCACACAATTATGCCCTTGCCAGCAAATCTAATCTCGGAAATAAGGTCAGTGTTACAGTGTTTAATGTCCTGGTTGCTTCAGAAAATTTCACTTAAACTAGAACTGTATCGTGGCGTAACACTCAAAATCAGTGAACTCCATTAAACTTTACATGCGAAATTATCAGAAGCACTGATAAAGTCACCAACATAGCATCTATGACCAGCTCTTCTTGATCTGCTGCAAATTCTTCCTCCATTGTTAAAATAAAAGCCGTTTCGCATCCAAATGTTTTTAAATGTGACTGAGCTAATAAGATGATCGTTTCGTATAAGAGGAAAATTATGTGACTTGAATACTAAGCCGGTTTGACATCTTTCCAGTCTTTCAGAAGCCAATTCTGAGATAATAAAAGCCTAGTGACAGGCCTATCATGAAGAAAGACAATAGCCTCTGATACATGCTGTCTGATACTAACCAGGCTTAAGTCTATTGGGTAATCAAAAGACCACTTCCTTTGTAATGTACATGGAATGCACTGGTTGGATGCTTTCAATGATCTTAGCAGCAGATAAGTTTACGGAAGTCATTCTAAAGTTTGACTTACTATGTTTGTCCTCCACCCTTCTACATGGGTGCTACAAGTATCATCTTCCAGTAAAACGACTATCTCTTCTCCATGAAGGTCTGTTAAAAAGCACCACTCAGATACTCCTTTGCATTATCTAGGTACTGGCGATCCACTTCCAACCAGATCCCCGATCGATAACTGTTGCCTCGGCGCGGTGGTTTCGCTGACACTTAACAGTGACCCATCAAGCCACGTTAGTTTGAGCGAATGCTAGCACAATCCTAGCACATCAGAAAGGCTTGTTGGACTGTAGTAAAACAAAAATCAGTTGACGTCATAGTGTTAACAGCTAAACCACTGAAAGTTCAAGCACGAAATCGTGCTACTGACTGGAAAGGTTGTAACAGTAGTGAGATCATTACTACTCATGACCAGGGGTTAATGCTGGCTCTGCTTTCCTTGTGATGAGTTGAAAAAAGGCCCTAAGACAATCACACTCCTCCTTACTCTGAAGCATTCCGCGACCGGTGATATCGATTTCCCAGCTCGATTTTAGCCAACCAAAGTTAAACTTCAGTCTTACATAGAGGTCATGTGTAAGTAGCCTCAGCAAATTTCCTGAAGCTCTACGGTCAGACATCACCATTACTAATCTGATTTCTTTTGCAGGTGCCTCAAGAAGTAACCTTCTACATTGTGAACAGCTGGGAAGTATCAACTACCCTCACAACTCTATCGGGATTACAGTAACCCCAGATCATTATCAACCTGTCTTCATTCTTGACTTCAAATCTTTCTTCATATCTCTCTGGCAGTATCTCTAGGCTATCTTTCGTTTTCTTTCTGGCTTTGCAACACTTGACAGAAATTAGAGATCAAAAAACATTTGCTTGGTTTCCGAAAACTGCACATCAATCTACATATCAAACCTTCAGTGTCCGAACTCTTTGGGAAATCAAACTACAAGTTTCGATGGCCAAATATCTTCGCCTTGTACTATAGACGTGTGCTATGTTTTAAGAAAGAATCGTCCAAGACCCGAGTGTGGTTATCCTTATAACCTTGCCCAACCAATGTAATGGACCCGCGAAATTCGCTGTCCGAGTTTCTGGAGATTCTTTGGCTTCTTATCGTGGGTTACCGGGTACCTATATAACAATAAGTACTTAAGCAGGAAGTCAATCGATAATCACCTGTGAGTTCCCCGATTGAGTATCGAAATGAAGATAGAAAATAATGTTGATGCACACCGTTTTCTTTCTAATCTCCACTCACGCACCAACTGAGTGCAGTTAGGATGAAGTGATAACCGTCTTTAAAACTCCTCAACTGCTTTTCGCTACACTATATGCTTTCCTACAAATAACTCTGAAGATAACTTAAAGTGACAAAAAATGGTGGAAAGGCGTGGTTCAGTGTTGAAATAAAGCGACAAATATAAAGAAATACAGCATATTTCCCCTTTTCACATCTTTTCTCCATGTTCGTCCTTCCTGCTCCAGCCGCTTTCAGTAGATAACTGCTGAAATAACTAATTAGAGCCCTGTATTTTTCGAAGAACTGTCTACTCATTCGAAACAGTGAAACTTGATTGTTAACCTCAGTTTTTGCTAGAGTGGTCTTTAAAGCCTCAATTACTAGCAGCGGACTTCCACCTGATCGACCTCTATTCTTCCAGTTTAATGACCACAAATGAAGCAAACCTATAATTATGAAGAAAAATATTTTTCTAGCTTTTTAGTTTCATAAAGAATAAAATGCGGTTTGTACATACGAGTCGCCATACTTTCATTGTTTCACCTCGAAAATAGCTATTGAAATTCCTCAATGAAAGTATCAAATGTCCCGACGATAGTCACCTAGAATTTATAAGTTATATGGACATAATCCCTGTATGCATAAACATACATCCATAAATATTTACCTTTCCGTATATCTACTTAAGGCTTACCTGCTTATTGCAAAACGGAGTGTATCAAAATAGTACCTATGTTTCCACTGGAAATAGTGTAGACGTAGTTATTTGCAAATAAAAAGTATGGAAAAACTTATGATGTGCTATGAAATCGGGTTATCTTCCAGCAGTCAGCACAGTGTGTTATATCTGAGTAAGCTTTAGCTCAAAAAAAAGCCAATATTACCATTTTTAAGCGTTAAGTTACAAACTGACTTTTTTCTATGCAACAGATTAGACGTAAAACATTTTAAATAAAGCCCATTCTAGTGGAAACGTTATGTTACAATACTTACTGGAGACACTGACAATCAGAAGTGTGGCTGCTAGAGAAAATGACTTAGAAATGAAGCTTAAGAACTGCTTTACCTGCTAATCTACATGACTTGTTCATGAGCGCATCGACTTCACACCACAATCACCAGTAAGTAAGTGACAGAAAGTATACAGGGATCGTTAAAGTTATTACAGAGATAAGTCCCACCCGGATATTTGTATAGAAATATGGATCATATTTATTCGCAGTGGCGGTTGAAAAGAATGTAGGATAGGTAGTATTACATAGTAGTAATTCTTTGACGTTTTAATGCATTTGAAAAAGTAATGCTGGATGGTGTTTCTTTGTGAATTCACAATCTTGGAACCTGATTTCAGCAGCGGACAAAAGATAAGTGATGTTGAGTTCAGTTGCTTGTAGATCGCTTTGCTGCCATCAATATCCATTTCAGCCTTGAAATAAAATTAATGTATGCAAATCAGTATTGTCTTCGAGATCCACCAATCCGAACTTCGAATAACTGCTCTTAACCTTTTCAAGTCCACTGAGGAATAGTTCGATTTATCTAAAAGCAGGGTGTTACATAGGCACTTTAAGCAATCTCGAAAATCATTTAGAACTGCGTGCATTATTGTTTTTCGATAGCATTCATGAAGCAAATAGCTACCAACTTACACAATAAATACGTCAGAAAATCATAAGATGACACAAATATAGAAATATTTTATTGGTGTGTTCCATGTACAGTAATACTTATTTTTGTAGGGACGTTCACGCTGGTGATTTGTTGTTGTTAGCTACTGCTTCATCCATTAGGATTTCCTTTTCCTCTAAATTTTTTGAACAAGACAATATATAATAATAGCATTACCTGTCGGATAGCGTGACAGTGTATTGACAGTTAGAACCAAGCAACATACAACTTCAACTTATCGAAAAATGATGAATAATTAGGAGATGCTGGTTACACTTGCCTACTTTACGTCAGCCAGTTCTCATTTACTAACGAAAGGAGAACGAAGATTTAGTTTAAAATGGAACAAATACCACCTACCATCTTCCATATCATCTAGCATGATCAAAAGAGTAGGGGAAATCAGAGCGACAATGAAATACAATGGTACATTATGTTGAAGAAATAATCTGATTTGCTGGAGTTCCTGAGATCCTACCTTCCAGTAACGAAGCGACTTTTCAGTATCTTGCATAAAAAATTTGTTCCGAATCATATGCTTGATACGAATAAGTTTATGGGCGATAAATTTTAACGAGTGACTCTGAAGGTCATTCAAACAACAACCGAAATAGCCTATTAGGTTTCTCTATTTTCTAATGGAAAGGCAGATTTTCATGAAATAAAAGTCTAATTGATTAGTCCAGTGGTTGTTTGGATGGCCTTTATGGTCATTCATCGTTTATTTTTGTGTGTCTGACTATGATGGTTGGACTTGTTTAACCAGAAGGCTTAACCACGTAATTTTGTCGTGATTACAGAGTTAAACTCAGTTTACGTGTAGCACTCGTATGCTTGCTTCACATCACTTTGATTGGTTATCCCTATCCTACGCTAACATGACTCTAAAGTAATGTTGGAAGGATAATCAATCGAATATGTTCTATTGCCGTAGGTAAAGAGATTTAACAATACATGCCTGAGCCAGATCTATCAGTTTAGAACTGCTTTGAATTGATGGACTGTATGAATATACGAAAACAATTACAGGATAGGTCTGCTAATTCTAATCTATTTGTCATACTACATAATTCAATGTTGCGAAAATATTCCAATAAGTTTGTCGACAACCACATCGTCTGTTAAACTGTTGTGACCTGTGTTACGTTAAATTTGTTATACATCGCCCAAAATGGCATCTTTTTCAATGCATACCTATTCAGCATCTGAGGTATTGAAGACAACTCACTGTTCAACCCAATATTTTGTTACTGAAGTCGAGAGAAATCAAGAGAATAAATACCTTGAATATAATAAGACTGTACTTGATTAATTATTGGCTAACGTTTTTCTCCTCCTCTTTCCCCTTTCAGATTCTCGTGGTCACCACTAACCTCTTACTCCTCTACGTATCCCTCCCTGCAACAACATACCTAACTGCAAGCTAGACAAAAACGTATCAACATCTGGTCAAAACAACGCAATGGTATTCGAAATAAAATATTGGCCACTGCACTATCCAAGGGTGTTTTCAGCAAATTAAAAAAGGAACCAGTCATGAATTCAGCCAAAATGTCTGTTAATCATATAAACGTTACATTTCATTGGCAATAATAATTACATCTCAAAGATAGATGTATCTTTTTGAATGTGTTGCAGTTCCTTTTAATGAATTGAAACCACCTTAAGAAGAATATAAGGTTCAACTTTAGTAATGGATATTTCACAGTTAACACTATTGCCTAGTTGGAAGCGTCAAAATCAATCGCTTGGGTCATTCCATATATTGTTCAGTTGATTGGTATTGCTGAGGGCAATTTCATAAATACACATACACAACAGGCTGCTATCTGTGCTTACTGGCGAAAGATGTACAAGAATTTAGCTACAGGTTATCAAATTGTTGAACACAAAAGAATCTTTATTCTTAAAAGGTCCCCAAGTATCTAATATAGACTCACTTTTTTATTTACCTGCAATAACACTTTAGTCATTGGCTTTAAACTGTTTGTCAAGCGTATACACTTCTATAGAAATACAGATACTGACTAGGTATTAGCAACACATTTCGCAGCCACCTCAAACGTCGAAAGTCTGCAATCTCACCAACTGAATTCCTCCTCTGCCTAGAACTCTACGCCAAACTCCCATGTGACTGACATAACCGCACCATGATATACCCAGCTATGCTCAGAGAACTGCAGTGCACTAAGCAACTGGATATCACGGTAGCACTGTGAGTCAGGTAGGCTGGTGAAAGTCAGTCAGGCCTTTTCTATCCGCCCAGAGACTTCCTCGGTCACTGACTCACCACGGTAAGAAAAGTGGTCAACACGCTCAACCAATTTACTTACTGTTGATAATCAAGGCACCACTGAATACCACTACTAGAGCAACAATTTACATTCAGGTGAAGAGAAACGTCCCTAAATTGTCACACAAAAAGTCCAGAAGACTGTACATCTTGTCATCGTCTTCATCTAGCAACACTATCTCATCTGTGTATTCTAGATCTACCAAGCATCCACCTATGATTAGATCAGTCCCTGTGAAGTCAGAAGACGAAACGGAGACCTCCATGAATATCTCTATAACAAAGTTGAATAAGAGTAGAGAGAGTAAGCATCCTTGACTGAAACCATTCGACATACACAACTAACCATAAACTGACTCTAACACGCCTGTGGATGTCCGAGTACACAGATTGCAACACAGTAGTGTACTTATTTGGCTTTCCTTTCAATGACAGACACTGTCACGAGACATCACGATGGATGGAGTCAAATGCCATCCTCAGGTCAAAAAATTCAGTTACTGTCGGACGTCGATAAGAGTACCTGTGTTCCACAACCTGGTGGAGTGTAAATATCTGATCGATGCACCCACGGTCAGGTTTGAAATCTGCCTTGTTTCTCCGCGTTTAAAGTTCCCGAACACCATTAGGATGTCTGAAATCTAAGACACTATGTTCGTCAGACTGATTCCCCATGATCAACACGAGAAGATTTCCCTCATTTCTTCAAGGCTAGAACAATCAGTGATTTAGTCCAGTCACAGGGAATCATATCTGACTTCCATACACTACTTAACACACCAATTCGTTTGACCAATAATTCTCTACCTCTGTCATTAAATACCTCTCTCTCTTACAGACCCTTCTGACCTTCTGAGTCTCAGGTTACTTAAGGCTTTCTCGACCTATGTTGGTCTTGGGAGTTATATCTCGATGTTCCACTCACGGTTTGACTGGATAGCAGGTGATGGAGTATTATCCGGATGCCAGTTGAACTGTTCATTGAAGTGTTTTGCTCATCCCTCCAGTTGTCTCTCTAATTGGTGAATCATAAATCCCTCCTTCTATGCTATATTCTCACCAACCACTGACTTTCCGTAATGGATATAATCATAAACTTACAACTGTTACTTATCTTCACATCCTTTTCCATCTCTGTAGCTTTCGCTACCCGCCACTGTTCACATAGACTATTTTTCAGCCTACTTTTGAGTTGCTTCCGCTCCTCCTTATCCTCAGAACCTGCAGCGATCGATGCATGCTCGTGAGTCCATTAGTTCAAAAGAAGCTGCTGATATCCACTGGCTCTCTGTAACCACTTTCTCAGACTCAACTACGACCTTCAACACTGTTTTCACAGCAGACTAGAGATGACACCAGGCCCCTTCTGGATTAGTGATGTTATTCTGTTACGACAACTATCCACCTAATTTCTCACTGAAAGCAGCCTTAGTCCTCTCATTGTCGAGCTGTACTCACAATGGTTCAGTGGCAGTTGTTTCCCTACGTCCATTTAGATGGTGAGATATGCGTGCTCAAACCAACGTGTAATCGCCGTTCAAACATGTGCTCCAGAAGCAGCAGCAGTCTTCCACTGACGCTCTCCAGCGTTGACTGATATCAATGTGGTCTATCTGTGTTCGTCGCTGAGTTGAAGTTGATAGACACCACGCGAGACAACCTCTCTCTCTCTCTACGTCTGAAGTTCATGTTGACCAGAAAGAGATGGTTGTCTGAGCAGAGTTGTAGCAGGCAATCATCGTTACCTCCTCGTCCAGTAGGGATTCCGAAAACGCCACCTATGTGCCTTTCTGCCTGAATTAGTCTAGCAGTTGTGCATTGAAATCACCTGAGACAACAATCATATCTGGTTATTTGACCTTCAGTAGGAGGCCACACAGTTCTCGGCAAGACTCATCCTTCAATTTATTCAAGCTACGGTTGGTTGGAGTGTAAGAAGATGTCATAAAGAAACAATGGAGAGTTCCACTGTATTGTTTAGTCCCCACTGTGCAGTTCAGTCGAACGGTGCACAGGTTGAAAACTGGGATCTAGTCAGACAGTGGACTTTAGACCTTAGCACACGGTGCCATGCTCCCACCTGCCACTGAACCTACAGAAACTCGAAGGGTAAATCTCGCAGAGTCACCACATCGATTGCGTGAGGTAAAGTCTATAACTGCATCTCGCTTCTGTATACGTATCTTGCAAATAACACACGTTCATGACCAGTGTTTCGGCTAACAAAGTATATTGACCAATTTGACAGAGGGTGTGGACATTGAAAGCTCCAAAGTATAGTTTGGAGCTCAGTTCCAGTAGATCAAAGATGCTATTCCGTGGAATCAGATCGTTATCAACAGCTGAAGAGACAGAACAAATTGAAGATTCTGCGGGAATATAGACCGAGAGACGTGAGGAAGATTAGGAGTTTAGGATGTGGAAGGTGAATAGTGATCTGAGGGGACCTGAGTGTTTGGAGAATTGTGACGGTGGTTGATACTTCCCAGCTGCCGACACCGTACAAGTTTAGTTCTTCTTGAGGTACTTGAAAGAGAAGGGTTGTTGTGTAATCACAGAGGGGAAGGGACACCTCCTT